TTCAAGAAATTTTATATTACCACACTTTGAAACCTTCTAGCTCAAGAACAAAAGAATGAAAATAAGAATGTCTAAGAAGTTGAAAAGAGGAATTTGGATTTTTAGGGTTATCAAAGAAGTAGAACTCCTGGGTAATGGAAAATCTAAAGCAAATGCTAAAGAATGTCTAGGTCTTATCATTCACCTGGAAGCAGGAAGTCAAGAATTTTTCAAAACCGATAACCAGCTTTTCGAGGCTCTTTATTGCTTCATCTTCTTTTGCATATTCATCAAAAATAAGAGGTTGGGACCAATCCACCTTCTCGTCAACCTCATCATCATCTAGCCAATCTTTCATTAAGAATCATTTCTTCTATTGGATGTTAAAGCATCAGATGCTCCCAATCATCTATTTCAGCTTCTTTGTGGATTACAAAAGCAATTTGATGAAGGGGTATGAAAACTGGAATATACCAGCTTGTGTGTATTCTCATTTATATCAAATAATCACCAAAGAGTGCCCTTTTGGAATTTTTATATGAAGAAAAGCAACCGGCACACAAAGATAGCCCTATTTTTGGAATTTTTGAATAATATTAAAGAAACTTAAAACACTGATCTAGAGAATGGAATGCAGGAAAGAAGAGAGAGAAAGACACAAAAAGACGAAACAGACCGAATCAAAGAGAGAATACAGAGAACTTCCTTTTTTATTTTTTATTTTTTTTAATCAAGAAAGTGAAGTAGAATGGGAATAGATGAGAGAGAGAGAGAGTCACCACGATCGCTCTTGAGAATGAAAGAGATGAGAGAACATCCAATTAGAAAGCACGATGAGGCTTACTAGAACTTACAGTGTGTAGGTTGTGATGAGATCTACACCTATGACCACCTAGCAGTTTCTCACAATGGTTTTATTTCTAGTAAGATAGGTGTTAAGAAAGATAGGCTCCTAGATTACCAAGAAAACAATCTCAAAACTGAGACAAGTTTACACTTCAATTCTCGTTTCCTTCACTTAAACGGCACGGTTACATATTTATAAAGTGAAAAAGATGCCAAATCACCTTTACATCTTATCAGATGATTTACATTTACATCAAATCTTTAGGGCATAAAGAAAAAGAAAAACAATCTTTGCTTTACATTCTTTCTTTACAAAAAGAAAAAGTAACGAGACTCTACTGTCACGTTTACGTTAAAAATAAATAAAAGATATAAAGGAAAAGGTAAAAATATTTTATTCGTCTTTATTTCCTTATTTTCAAATATTCTTTCATGTGAAGGATACAAAATCCTTGCATCTTTTTGTGACAGGGGATGTTTGATTTTTTGGTTGAATGTTTCGAGTGCTTCTTGTTGCTCAACAGGATCTTGATTTACCAGATTTCCATCCATGTACCTTCTAATAACTACTAAATCAGTAAAATTTAGAGAAAATTATAAAAAAAAAAACCCAAAATATACTTTTTATGCAACTTACCCCCCAGCTAACTTTTGCTCTCAACTTTTTCCAAAAAATAAACTTTTTATGCAAATACCCCCTAGGGGAAAAAGCTCATTTTTCTAGACGAAAATGCCATTCCCGTAGCACACCGCCGGAGCGCACTTAAACAGTGCCGGAGCACTGTGACTCAGAATGCTCCACTGCCGGAGCGCACATATACATTGCCGGAGTGCACTTACATAGTGCCAGAGCACATATCACATTGCTGGAGCTCACTAAAACAGTGCCAGAGCCCTGTGACTCAAAATGCTCCACTGCCGGAGTGCACTTACGTAGTGCCGAAGCGTTGTGTTACACTGCCAGAGCGCACTTACGCACTGCCGAACCGCAGTGTTACACTGCCGGATCGCTCTTACACAGTGTCGGAGCCCCTATGACAGGGCTCCGATACTGTTTAAGGGCGCTCCGGCAACGTGCTATGAGAAGGACATTTTCGTCTAGAAAAATGAACTTTTTCCCTTGGGGGGGTATTTGCATAAAAAAAAAAAGTTGGAAAAAATTGAGAGCAAAAGTTAGCTGGGGGGTAAGTTGCATAAAAAGTAGATTTTAGGAGAGTTTTTATAATTTTCCCTAAAATTTATTCTTTGGAAATAGATATTTAATGGAAAAAAATTATATATGGTTGCAACCTTATACTACTGACACAAGGTAAACCTCAAAAATCCTATAGAAGTGAGTGTTCTACTGTCGGAGAACCCTATATTGATCGTCTCAACCTCGAGATGTGTGGATATGGAGAAAAACAATAATTTCAAGTCCTAAAAGTAGTGCATCTTGTAACAATTTATCTGGACTGTCTATGGTCAAGGTTTTCAAGTGTTTATAGATCTGCTTGATCTGTGCCATTTTAAAATTTTAAATTTCATAACTAGGGATAAAAATAAATTTTCAAGTCATCATAAGGTATACAACAATGAAAATACATCACCAAGCAAATTTTAGTGGTGCACCTTACTTTTATAGTATAAGAAGGGCACCTTATACAAATCTCACCCATATTTAATTGATCTTCGCAGTCATTGTACCCCAATAATTATTGTTCAGTAGCACTTTCTTCCCATTTGAAAGGCTCATGGCTCATGAATTTTTTAACGTGCCTAGTTTTTTCTGATAGAGATGGGATATAAACATGAACATAATTAACATATCTCAAATATATCTTGCATTGTAACTTATCATGCAGCTGATCTGGGAAGTTCTCTTACTTTTGAAGGGCATGAGGCTTCAGATAATCTTTCCTTCCGACAGACATACTCCCACAAAATCAATTGAATTTACAGCCACTTGGAATTTGTCATTTGATGAAGAAAGGCCTATACCATGGTCTTTTACAAGCTGGGCAAAAATCTTCAAATGTTGTATATGTTCTTTCACATTATCAGAAAACACTAAAATGTTATCTATATGATTAGCGATAAAGTTAATTTAGGGTTTGAAGATGGAATTCATCCTCATCTAGAATTGAGAGGGAGCATTCTTGAATCCGAATGCCATAACCAACCACTCAAATAGACCATTTGGGATAGAAAAGGTTGTTTCATGAATATCTTCTTCAGGTGATACCCTGATTTGCAATTAAATTTTGAAAAGATTTTATTTTCAGCCACTCTTCTATCAAATTCTTCTTTGTGGGCGAGGGGCCATTTAATGTTAATAGTGACATTATTCGGAGGAATGTAGTTTATTACCATCCTGGCTTTCCTTTCTTTTCCCCACTGTGATTTTTAACAATAAATGCAGCATTAGAGTAATCAGACGGGGTTGCTCTTATAAGCCCTTTTGCTACCAGCTCATTTACTTGACTTTTTAGTTTTGCCTCATCAACTTTATTCATTCTAATGGGCTTATTTTGAACGGGTATTTTATGAATTGATGAAATATGGGCCATAGGAAAATCTTTGTCCCATTTTTCAAGAGGATGTCCCCCACAGCAATTTCTGAATTCTTCAGTGATTTCTTTTGTAGTGGTTATCTATGATCCATCCTCTTAAGGATAATCCCTTGTTTCGCTTAATTAATTCATATTTTCTTGTATCTTCATCCATTCTGAACTTATTTTCCATAGTCTTTGAAAGAGGGGGATTTCCTTGAATCTTGTTGAATCTCAATTTTAGAGATGGTGAGATTCTGGGCACTATTTGCTTTTCATTTTGAATGGTAAAAATCAACATACTCTCATAAATGGTATAGGGACTCATTTCGTCGACAGTTACTATACCCAATCCGGCTTGAAAACCACCATCACCTCATCATCATCATTAGAGCCTTTTCCCAACTATTTGGGGTCGGCAAAAACCACCATCACCTATTCTTACAAAATTTACCATAACAACCTTTTTCTCCTATTTTCAGAGGGACATTTAAGGCAAATTCAGTTAATTTTCTTCTTCCATTCGTGGTTTCAGGAGCCCATGACCTATCCTCTAACCACAAAATCCAATCCCACATCAGATATTCATAATTGTGGGCCACAAAACTCATATGTCAATCCACAGTACAGTTCTGGTGCCCATGGCGTACACATAACCCCAACGTGCCCCCACATTCTTTTATTCGCTCAGTAAATAAAATAAAATTGGGAGAAATTCTACATCCATGCAGCCAACGTAGGGTTTCCTTTCGTCCATGAGGATGGATGGCCACAAGAAACATGTAATGTGAGTAAATATCAAGGGGGATAAGTTTTTTTCAATTACATGGATGATCCTGCCACAAATACTTGCGGAATGCCTTAAATATCATACTATTGAACCCTGATTCCTCACCTTTAGAGGCTGCAACTCATAAAAGATTGTGAGGCACCATGAGCTATATGATTTACATATGAAAGGGGGTAAAAACTTTAGCTTGGAACATAGATACCCTCATCAATATGGGAAACACCTTCACATTCCAGAACATGTAAATCTAATCCAAACCCAAAACACATGCACCTATGACAAGCTATCATCCCATGATGACGAAATGAAATATGTCCAATCAGCAATCATGATGGGAACTCCAATAGTATTATGCCCCTTATATGATACACACACTTTCAAGATGTATATTTAGTGCCTCCTATATGAGAAACTTGATAAGAATGTGAAGGGCTTCTCAACACACATTTTGCCCCAAAAAGAAAATCCGCATCCATCTTTTCTGCATACCAGGACTCCACCTATTTTTTCTTGGTTAGCATCTAACTACTGACCTCAACGACATTTCTGAACTCATCCAAAACCAAATTCTTTGACACTGAGTAACAATAAAAAACCATATCATAATGGTCTCGTATAATTGAATGATTGCAAACAATGACAAAAAGTAATTGGGTTTACCCATGTTAAGAATTAGGTATGCAGGCAGAAGGAACACAACATATATTGGACCACAATGAATTAGTTGTTGATGAAAACCACCTAGGTATTTCTAATGGGATTCCCCTAGAGAATGAATTAGCTTGCGATGTTCACTAACATCTATATGTAGAATTCATTCCATCTTCATAAAAATCACATGAAATATATGATACCTCAAAAGCAGACAATGTCGCCAGAAGGCCTCTTCCTGGTAGAGACTCAAAGCTTTCAATGGCTACATGTGGCAGATCTTTCCCCGCACTATGATCCACTACAGCTCTGCAAATATGAAATACAAACAAGAAACAAGAACTCAATGTTACACAGAGAAATAAAGAATCACCTGTTAACATAAAAAAAAGCAACACATGAACTCCATATCGTATCAACTGTCAACACCAGTATATCTGGCAATTTAAGTAAGTGGGCATCATAGACTCCAAGAAAACGTTTTTGGAAGTATATTTGTTTTCAAGATCAAGATCTCAAGCAGATGGCAATTGCAGCGGGTAAGAAGTGTCTTGAGTGAAATGAAACCACAAGGAGTACGAACTGGATGAGGAAACTCTTTCACCAATTTCCAAGCTCTTTTACTTGAGTATCCTCATCTATAGCCGTAGCTGGGACTTGCATCATTGTATTGGAAATATATTTGTCAATGGAATTCTTCACCAAGAGAATTGCATGGGAGCACCACCTGAATATTTATCTAATTCTGGTCTGTTGTGTCAACTTAAGATTTCCTCCTGTGATCTCAAATAGGCTGCTCAAATCAGGTCTAAACATTCTCTTTAGGTGCTGAAGTGGAGGTGTGGTCACTTTAAGTCCTCCACTGACCCATCTTTGATCAAATTTCTCACCAGTTATCACAGTTATTTCATTTACAGATAAACTTTTATAACCTTTTGGTAAAGTGAGATCTCAAGGGAGAGAGACAGGAAGAGAAGACGCAATCACCATAGAGAACGATGTCAACAAGACACCCTAGTCACCATTTTATCTCATACAGAAGAGATGCAAAGGACAAATGCATATAGCAAAGGAGATTGTTCATATAGGTGTTTGTGAGGATGAGTTTTTCTTCAGGACATTTTTTACTAAACCTTAGTGTCGTATCGACTTTGTTTGGAGGAAATAACATACATATATGAGGCACAAATCTTTCAATGCTTTCATTAAGGTTTTCATTATTATAATGGCCAATAATATCAGAATACAATAGTATCAAATATAATTAAATAAAATATCAGGTCCCAAGATGTAACCTGGACATCAAAATCCATCAGCGTATGCACCTGAGCGTACTTAGGTAACTTCAGAGAATTGACTTAACCAAGGAATGCATTCCAGTCATTTTGTACAACATGCTGTCAGAGAGAAATTAGGGGAAAGAGTGTGAAATTAAAGTTGAAGCCATCTAGGCGCATGCATGGATAATAAGTGATGGCTGCTCGTGCTATGTAAATCTAGGTGGGAACAGGCAAATGAAGTGAGGCACCTTCAGCATTCCTTGATCAGTTGGGCATTGACATGATTTTTTACACTTTTAGCGCATTTGACTTTTGGGAGTGGCAGTTCTGGGAAACGCCACTTCCTAATACTGTAGCACTTCCCCGTTTCATAGCACCATAACGGGAAGTGCTACACAATTTTTGGGAGCCATAGTATCTAGCGGCAGCCAAAACAACATTAAAAATTGCAAGATGTGGCTGAAAGTCAAATGCACCCTTTGGTTTTTTGGTGAAACATTCATGAGATATGAAATGTTTGGGCCTTACTACGTGAAGGCATCCCATCCAAGGGGCGGCGAACAAAGAGGGCTGTAGGTTCCAAACTTTGGTGCCCCTTGCTCAAATCTGAGATAGTGGAACATGGAATTAGGTTCTATAGTGCGACAATGGAACACCATGTGGTTTTGGGTTGTGTAAAAAAGGGGATGATAAGTCCTTTAGGCAGCAAACCTCACACAAAATGACAACCATCATCTTTGTTCCCAATGAGGCTAAAAGAAATAAGAGAGTATAAATGCTGAGTGAAAACAAGAATAGCAAGTATAATCATCCCAGAAACTAAGATAATTAATACTTTGTGGTATTATGTTGCAATAAGAGATGAGAATAAAATATGACAAAAATGCCTACATGAACTCACTACATCTAAAAAAGAAAAACCAAGCCAGTCACATCTAACCAATTTCAATAATGCAGAGGAAACGTCAACCTTCTATATTCGGCCCTCCTCTGATACATTATGCACCTCACACTGCAAAATACAGAGGAGTTTCTGCAGATTGAGCCTTAATTTCAATGTCAAAGTAAGGGTTCACCAAATATAGGAAGTACTTCCTATATATATAAAATATTTCAAGTATAAAGAAAACGTTCCTCACTCATAAGCGGACTAAAACATGTCCACCACAATAAAAATTATTGAATGTCATATATCAAATATTGACTAGCTAAATTTTCTTAAAACGCAAATGAAATATAAATAATTATTTCAATACATGGAAAACACAAGAAGCCATATTCATACCTAAGGCAATGGAAAAAAAGCACTCCGAAAGGATCAACAGGGATCCACCATGAAGCAAATCAATATCAGAACGAAGAGTAATTTTACTTTGACGGGTACACGGGTACGGGAAAATACCCAGAATATCGCAATATGCCTTCAAGAGTTGCGTCTCCACACAAATCTAATTACCAACACTACCCCTCAGCAGACCTATCCACTAGCATAGTAGCTTCCCTAAATTATGGATGGGGATGGGAGTTAAAATTTCTTAGCAACCCATACAAATATCAAAGTCTTCAGCAAGGGCATTTCCCTACAATCCAAAATTGTGCAATCCCCCACCAAATGAAGAGGAGGGTATGAAACACATATTTCTAAAAACCCAAGTAGGATTTTACAAAAATAGAGATGTCAATAATCTGAATTGGTGATTTAAACTTGTCCCTTATCGATTCACACAGAGGCCCCCTGACAGGCCAAGCGTGCCTTTTGGTGCACATCTTTCCCATTTTGCCCTTGACTTCATCTTATCTGGTTGAATAATCGCAACTGGTCGTGCTCTTGAGAAAGAAACCTATTGGAACCCCACACCCCTTCTGTCACAGAATATATATAACAGGTCATGTTTCCATCTCTTACATAAACGGAACCTATCACACATCAATAGACCTTTCGGCTACGACAGGGTCCATTCTTAAGCACGCATAAACACTACGATAGGCCACCTTAGGAACACAAAAAATTGCTTCAGACTCCGGCAAGCAATTCACAACCACAAGACCTCTAAAGTTGCACGTTTATATTTCTTAAGGAGATATAAATTACAGAATACTAAAAGAAATTTTGAAACCAAATTTTAATGACAGGCTGCATCTTTTAAGAAAACAAAACTTGTTGGAGTCCAGTAGACCCTTAAATCGGTAATATTTATGACCTGTCAAAACCCAACAAGCATTTCAGAATATTGCAATCACAACAGTTGCATTTTCTATCTATTAGAGGAAACTAAACATATCAGCTTTAGACAAGCTTTATTTATCTTACTTTCGTTTTTTCTCATTTAGGGAAAGCATAAACCTGTCAGATTATGAAAGGCTCAATTGAGTACACAAAAAACTCATGCATTCCAACATGCATTTTGGAAAACACAAGATCACGTCAAGTTGTAAGTTTGAAAACATCACCTATCAAATACCGAGAGGCATTGTGAACTGCCAGGTTCACAACAGGGAATGATGATCCTATAGAAGATAAAAGAGAACCTATCCATGATGATGATCCTCAAGTAAGGGAATAATACAACAAATGGGGAGGGCCGGGAAATAGTGACATCAATACAAAAAAAAGATGTGCACCTAATGTAAGTCACAGACAACAACAGCAAAAAGAGGGCATCCTCCGAAGCAAGGGAAACCATATGCTTTCATGTTACTCCCTGTTTCATGTTATAAGATACAGCCACAAAAGCACGGGTGTCCTAGTAATAGAAACAAGGAGAACACACACGCCAGAGAAACATTCTACTGTATCTACACAAAAGTATGAGAGTTCCAATAGAAAGTAGGATTATATGCCCATGAGATAGGAGGACCATAGGTCTGGGGTCCTATATAATTTTCTAAAGTGTTGGATGGGAAGAGATCAGGATCTTATATGCTTATTTGGAAGAGTTAGACAATGTAAGACCCTTAATGAATGCCTCTTTTGGGTTGCTCTCTTTTGAAATTTCATGTGAATTCTCATAAATATTAAAATTCTTAAGAGATTCAATCTTCGTATTCTTATTTTTTAAATGTATTCATTTTATTGCTCAGACATTCTTTAGAAAAGAGAATCCTGATTGATGTCCAAAGCTCATTGGGTTGCAATTGTCATGCACAGTGAAGTCCTACTACTCTTTCTTGCCTCATGAACAGTTTGTACATTTGGTTGTTTATAAAATCACAAGGAATTCTCTTAGATGATAGTATTTGATGAAATTGCAGGTAAGGATGGATCTTCAAGATAATCTGTCTACTTAGAAGTAATGAACATGTTTTACACGTTCTCTTCCTTTCTTTTGGCACATGATTGCAATGCATCTACAAACTTTGAAATGAGAAAACACTTGCTTTTTATTGTTTACTGATTGGTACGTCATTGTTCCTATCCCTCACTCATACTGTAGACTACCCATTGAGCAAAAGTAAGTAGGTCATATTGTTGTTGCATTCCGATTTTTAGGGTTTTGGAAAATAGAAGGGATATTATCTTATTCTTTCTTTACTTCTCCACTTTGTTATCAGCATTAACTGATAGTGAATTGTTGCTGAGCCATGCAGAAATATGAGTACTCTTAGAAATTCATATAGCACACCCGAACACCATATCTTTATTTCCCAATGATTTTTAATTTATTGACCTACTAAATATGACTCTATGCACATTGACGGCTTTTTTTGGTCAAAAGAAGATCCATGCAAAATCATCAAAGTTAGTGGAGAAATACTTCACTTCCATTTGATGAAGCCTCCATTGCAAACACGCACAAAACCAGTTTCAATTTCTTGGATATCTCAACAGAACCCTACTGAAGGATCCCCATACTCTCTCCAAATTGTTGCAACACTTTGTGGCTCTGTGATGTAATCTCTTTCTCTTCAGAGGGAAAGCTTTAAATCACCACAACTTGAAGAAAAATATTTTTATACAGCAATGGCTGAACCAATACATGTAGCAGTGGCCATATGAGCTGTCCAGTTGGGCAACAAAAGTTTCTGGAATGAACATTTCATATATCTTGACAGCAAATAAGGCAATCTGACATATGTTAGATGGGTCAGATTTCCTTTCAACATTTTCCTGAGATATCAGGAAGTGAATTGTCCATTTGAAAATGGACGGCTCATGCAGCAGCACCATGGCCTACATGTACCAAAGCTTAAATACCTAAAACGCAAATCCTAGAACTGTGAGTAGTAGTTAATAATTGTGCCAAAGAAATGCATAAGAAACTTTTCAATTACTGAAACATTTTTCAGAAAAAGGCTAAAAATTTAATTGGGCCATGCCCAGTTTCGACCTACCAGTTTCAAATGCCTTTCAGCATCAAATATTGTATATTTTGAGACTTGCAACCTCGTGGTTTCATAGTTCCAAAATGCATTTCAAAATCTGACAAGTTCTGCTTACCTAATCTGGTCGTTCATAGTCCTTTTAGTTTATGCATTCATAATAAACAAACGAAAAGCTTGACAGAAGTACAAGAGTTTGGGGTTCCTCTAAAGGAACAAAGCAGAAGTTGTCATGAATGCAATGTTCTCATATGTTTGTTTGGTTCCAATAGGCTATCCTAATGTAAACATTGTCTGCCAAAGGGTTTGTTAGACTCCAACAGGTTCTGTTTCTTACGAAAAAAATATTATTAGAAAATCATTTGGTTGTGGATTGCTTTATGGCATCCCATGGGTTTTACATCTTAAGATATAAACAGGCCAAGACATTCAAGGGAAATAATGGGAAAGATTTGCACCAAAATGCACGTGTGGCCCTTCAAAGACCTCTTTGCATAACTTGATTAGTGACAAGTTTTGGTTTCTAATTTAGACTATTGATAGTACTAAGTCAGTAAATATCCCAACCCAAGAAATAATTGCACACAGCCCCAGGTCCAGGCAAATCCACGAAATGTCCACAAGCACCCAAATGCATGTAACACATGGGTCTCATAAGGATTCCATTTTCCCAGGCTTTTCCAAAATGTGCCATTAGAGCATGATGATGGTACAACCTCTAAAAATTAAGCTCAATCTACAAGACGGATTACAGTTAGTATCCTCCAATGCTATCATTCGAATTCTTTTCTAAAAAGGGGAAAAAATGGGAGCACATATTGCTTTCAAAACTAGCCAAATACAGCTAAAGAAAATAACCCGAATGTATAAATCAGTATCAACTAAATAACAACCCCAAAAGTACTAAAGTGGAAATATTACAATCAATATTAGTGGATGCTCATTATATCAAAGGGAATAGTTAAAATATATAGCCCAACACAATAAATGTTTGAAGAGGATTGCACGAAAAGAATGAATATAAAGAATGAAACAATAATGGAGTCTTACAATTGCCATTAATGAAAGGGATGAGGCAAACGGTTCCAGGCCCAACTACAATACCTTCCGATTGGATGAGTAGTTCCCTTTTCCATTGCAGCTGCAACAGCAAGAGCTTCCTTCTCACAATTTGGAATGCAACAAGAGATACTTGCATGTTTATCACCACCTATTTTATGTCCATAAATCGGTTCAATTGCTCTGCATGATAATTCTCCCGTTGTCAGAGTTCCAGTTTTATCAAAAGCAATAGTGTGGCAAGATGCAAGAGCATCTAATACATGTCCACCCTTAAGCAAGATACCCTGGAAAAACAAAGCAAAAACAAATCCATAAAGATCAGATTAATGCATTCAAAATATTATACAAGTGACCAATGTTATTAGGACCGGATCGGTGATCAAACTAGTGACGGCATTGGTCCGGACAGACCGGTTCAACGGCCAGATAGATCATATAATAAAAATAAAAATACTAATAAAGAAAATTAATAGAGAAAAATGTTCATAAAAAAGTCATTTTCACAAAAGAAAATGAAAGTATCCTTTAAACATTAAAAAAGAAAAGAAAATTAGTTAGACACTCAATTTTTGTCTTTAATTATGCACTTTAGTTCCATCGACGTCAATCCACTGGTTCACCATAGGGACTAGTCAATCCACTGGTTCACCAGTCTGACATACCGCCCCCACAGCCCAGCCCCGTTTCACTAGACAGGCCGGACCAAGGGGGCCCAGACCAGACAGGTTTAGGCACCAATTCAACGACCCAATGATCTAACCGGCCAGTTTGTTCCAGTTTTAAGGCCATGGAAGTGCAATTTACCAAAAGAATGGTTTCACCAAATAACAGTCCAAATTCCCGTAATAGGAAGATGGTTTCCAACACATGTCACCAACAGAATGTGCAATTTGCCAAAAGGATGTGCATTTTGCACTTCTGTTCGGACTTGCACCATTAAAGGCCTTAGAAATTGGTTGGTGATCCATACCCTGTGTATTCCCCATATATTTTATGTGAAAATGCATTTTTGGTATTAATAAAAATGTGATCCCAAGTTTGAGTGGGACTGTTGGGCTCCATGGAAGACATAGGCCATGAAAACAGGCTCCTTGGATTCTAGAGAGAATCAGAAGGGTGGTTTTGGCATGAGTGCTGCTTTTGAGTAGATTCAAGGCTGGGACTTAAGAGTGCTATGTAACTTCCATCTTGACATGCGGCTACGCATTGGCCAGCTACAGTAGAACACTCACCCTCAGCTGGACACACTCTAGCAATAGTCTCTAGATGCATCGTCGAGGTGGCCTTAAGGGTTGCCTCATTAAAGACTTGAATAAGCTCAATGATAGATTGTCGGCCAGAAGGAAACCAAGGCACTTCTATGCAGTGTTTTAAAAAGTGGATAGCCCAGTTCCTAGGCGACCCGCCTAGGTAGTCCAGAAGGCATGAGCACCTCGCCCAGGCCCATGCAGCCAAATTACGCGGGTTGTCCGTGAGCGCCTGCCTAGGCACCAGGGAACCCGCCTAGGCGGGCTCTCAGCGGCCAGCGCTTGGCGGCTGTCGAGGGCCTGCGCCTAGCCAAGGGGGCAGAAATGACCCTCGTGGGCATTTTTTGGTTCCTTTTTTTAATACTAAAGGGACAAAATCATGGGTTCGAGGTTCATTTGAAACCTAAACCCCATTAAAGCCTCTTTTTTAGAGAGAGAAAAATCCAAAAAACTAGTTTTTAGTGATTTTCATATGATCAGAGGGTTTTTCAAAGTTACGAGAAATTGATCTAAGCATCACCCATTGATATTAGATTTACTTTTTAATGTTTTATAAATCTATTAGAGGGTCTTTTAGAATATTTTGAGTCCTTACAAATATCTTAGAGGTGGAAGTTTGAGATCGAGCAATCAAAGTTAGTATGGAGGAGTGTATGCTATGTGGACTTGTGTACCATACATTTGATGTGCCCTAAATCCCTAATTCTTATGTGTTATACAGTTATACTTATATTGTTACACTATAGAGACATTTTTTTTTTTCTACTAGGCCACCAAGGTTTTGGGTGCCCACATGGGCACTAGGCAGCCTAGAACCCCCCGGCCGCCTAGCGCTTTTTGAAACACTGGATAGAAGCTGATTATTTTAAAATCTTTCTAACAATATAGAAATAGGAGCATAAGCACAAAAAAATTGGTAAAGAAGAAAAGTGTTTCAATTGATTGATACCTCTCAGCCCACTAATATGACAATGTATGGAAACTTTTGTATCACTTTTGACACATCGAACTTCTATGAGCAAAATCTCATTGTAATTGTTTGTATTGCATAATTTAATCAGGAAAACAGTTAGGGGATTTTTCCTGCTGATTACCCTTAAAACATAAAAGAGTGCATATGTGTAGCTTTAGCATTTAATCAGTATGAATAAACACTAGACTGAATTTCTAATTTTTGATAAATATTGACTCTTAATACACATTTAGGGAGACACATACACATATCAACAACCATAATACAAATTATACCACTGAACATTCAACATGACATACAACAAAAGAAACAATATAAATATTAGAAGTGGTTGAATGTCATTGTGCAAGTTATAATGACAATATGTCTCAGTATCTATAACCAGAAAAAACCATTTGCACCCGAAGCCATGCATTAACGTCAAAAGCATCCCCTTCTAAATCTTGGTAATCATACGCTACAGAAGTTACAGATGCTTGAATACTATAAGAAGTTACTACGACCAGGGAAGAAGTGTGCTTATCAGCAACATGCCACGTGGTACGTTTTGAAGTCAACTCGCACAATTTTAAGGCAGCAAGTAATAAAGGAAGGAAAACAAACCACTCCAGCAATTCACCTGCGTCACAGCTAATTTTGACTATTTAAGGTTCAGAACCTCAGCGATGATATTTCAAGGTGTCTAAAAGCAGCATTACCAGTATGCATCAACAAATAAGAAGACAAACGGCACAGATTCACCAAATGTATAAGCAGTTTGCAAACTCATGGAGATATTGCAAGCTCCAATCAGTAGGGTCCTTCATTTCTCTCTCCTAAACATGAATCATCAGACTAAAACTCATATTCCCATATATATTTTACTTCAATTTTATCAACTTGCATATTTGTTTGGTACTATAACTCCTCAATACACATGTTTGACTTTGTCTTCAAATAAAAGATAGTTTCACTATAGAAAATACTACTCATTACAGGATGATTATTCCAAAAGGCCCAATGACCAAAGCACCCTCGTTGTAGGAACACACAAACGAGACACACGTGCACACACAGTGTGGAACAAACAAAAGAGACATTTTTTCCCTTAAAATGCTTGAGGACGTTGAACAGTCAAGGGAAACAAAACATGAGCAATCATTCAACAATTAAGGAAGTATGTGAACTCCGTTTCTTTATTTCCACTCAAGATAGAAGGACAACTACCTTACTTGAACAAGCACTTATTGCAGTTGCATAAGCCAAAGGAGCCACAGCCAATGCACAAGGAGATGCAGCAACCATTAGGCCCAATGCCCGGTATACGGATCCTCTGCAAACTATAAGAGAAGTCAATATGTCAAAATCAATGTGTGACATAAAACGCAAAAAGAAAATCATGGTGGATAATCAAACCATAATAAAACAAAAAAGGCCGGAAAAAGAAAAATGTAGATCCTTTCACTGTTAACAGCATCAAATCTTTGGGACATCTCCTGAGTAAATGAATCACAAAAATCTAATACAAATATCCATCCAAAAAACTTGGAGTATTTGAGAATATACCAGCAATCAAACAAACAGGACATTTCCGCAGAAGCGTGGTCAGCAAAATTATGCAATAAGATACTTGGACACACAATGCAGGAAAAACCAAAGCCTTAATACCATGAAAACTCTAGGCGACATCGACTTGTATTTTAGGGGGTAGTCATGAAACCAGGATTACAGTTGCCTTAAAACAAAGAAGTCGAAGGTGTGCCAAGAAGAAGGTACAACATGAGCAATGGTCAATATGCTTATTGTATTGTGCCTAAACATATTGGATACATATAACACAATTTGGTTACATAACATAAAGTTCATATATCTAACAGACCTAAATGCCCACAAGACCTAAAATGAATGACACAAAGATACAATATGTTACATCTTACAACTCAAAACACATATGCATATAAACACACATGTTATGAATGTTAAAGTTTATACTATTTTCTATTGTATTTAAGCCCCTAAGGACTTGTATATCATTTTCCTCATTAAAAGGACATCATCTTATACAAGAAAAATTTAATAACATATATATATATA